ATGACTACGTCTGGGGACGCTACCAAGCCAAGAATGTTATTAATATTTTCGGATCAAGGGATTACAAGGGAAAGAGGTTGTATTTATAGATATTAAAACATAACCCCTAATTAAATTAGGTCGCGCCTGGCCCACATCTGTACGGCCCAATCTGTACGGAAACTGTACGGAAAACTTGGATCGACGGATAGGGCTTTGTTATAGAGTCTCTAACACCTTACACTTTAACCATTTAAAAAAATTGGCATTACGGAATTTTTTTGGCAAATCAATAACATAATGTGTGAGTGATGGTGTTTGGGGATGAAGTTTAAGTAGTTGTACATATATGGAATAACTAGTGTTTTACCCGGGCATTGCCCCGTACAGATTTTGAAAATGTGTAAATACTTTGTAAGATATACTACGTATATTTATACAATATTTAAATAAATCATCATTTGACTTTTAATAAATATTTTCCCTAGAAGGTTTAGGGGAATATGAATCATCACTTTGTTTGCAGTAATTATTCTTATTTAGGAAATAAAAACATGATAATGCAATTTTGGAATATACAAACGTTTTTAATCTTATTTAGGATATTTTTCCAAAAAATTCCAAATAGATAATTTTAAAAAAAGTTGATTTATTTATTTTTCGTATCCCTAATGTATGTCATTCAGTATAAAGTATCAATCCGATAATATTATGGTGAATAAAACAATATGAAAAAAATTTATATTTAATTGGGAAATCTCACAATGTATGTGTATGTACTCACAATGAACTTATGGCTCGTTTCATAGTTTACACGTTAATTATTTGAATGCAAATGATTGCATGCAACGTTTAGGGAAGCAATCACTTTGCACGCAAAATAAATAAAACTGTTTAGCTAAATATTTATTTATTTTTACTTTGCAACACAAAGGCGTTGCAGTTCTTTATAAAGAGAATGCAAAGTATTTTACCACTCTCCCTTCATGTGAAATACTTAATACTTTATCTGGTAGAGAGTGAAATGTTTTTAAAAAGTGTCGTATAATTAATTTACATTAAATAATCTAGCCAAACGGTGTAAATCTTTTACGTCCCTACACTCCACATGTAAATCTTTTACATCCTACCAAATACCCTCTTAGTATATTACGTAATGTATATTTGATCAATATGGAGAATGAAAAAATAAAAAATTAATAAAATTTATTTATTTTTTATTTATGTATTATTATAAAAATATGTACATTTAGTATAAAATATTATTTCCATAATTTTATGGAGAATATAAGATATAAATAAATATAGTTTATATATATTTAGGAGAATCACACAATGTGTATATAGTCACAATTTACTTATTAATTATATCTTACTTTATTAGTATTATTTCAGTTCTTTAATTCGAAAATCATAATTCGTATTTTTAAACACTTTTTAAGCGTGATTTGAAAAGTAATTTTATTAGTAAATGTAAATTTTCAAATTTCAAAGTAAATGATAAAAATATATCAATCATTTTTAAATCATAACCTCTTATATTCTGAATACACTAACGTTTTCATTTCATATGTTAAACAGAAACTACTGTTTTAATTGGGCATCTTATAGGGAAAAATTATCATTATATTTTCATTACTGAATAAATATTATATTCGCTTGATTTTTTATTTGAAAATTCAATTTATTCTTTTTATATGTTTTTTAAATAAATGTAACTATAACATATAATTCCATTCATCATCATTACCTTTGGTGGGGTAAAGAAGGTCGAATGTACGCAGTCTTATTCTTATACTAAAGCACATAGAGCATGGGCAGATTCAGGGCACTGGGTCGTACTGAGTCAATACAAAGAATATTTTTGGATTTTTTTTAAAGCAGAATGTTTTACACTAAAAATATAGACATTTTTTAAATTTGGGCTGGGCCAGGGTCAGCTGGTCAGGGTTGGTCCTTCCCTACATATGCCCCTGATAGAGAGACTGTTTCTGGATGACTCGTGGTGAAAATCGAGTCGAAAATTGCATGAACTGACTGCTGCTTCATAACAAAGAAACGAAGACAATTTAGTGAGCCTTTTTTGCTTTAATCCATCATATTACCAGGCCAAAAAAATAGTGAGTCTTTGACTCCATTGCATGAAAAATTATATATCATTCCAACAAACTTAATATTTTAGAATAAAATATTGTTTTGCAAAAAAAAATCCAAGAATACAAATTAATATTGTCCAACAGGGCCGGCCCTGGCGCTGTGCAGGCGGTGCGGCCACACAGGGCCTAATTTGGACGGAAGGCCCAATAGTTTAACTAATTATTAGTTATTTTGAATCAAATCAAACAATGCGCTGTATGGGTGAGTCGAACTCCGGTTGGCAACGAGAAGTACAAAGTCGCTTACCAGCTTACCAAGCAAACAATTTGGTCATTACCTGAATAGTTACAGAATATCTTTATTGAAATCAATGTTTCATTGTATTACACTATTACTCTACTATACTCTACGTTTGGAACAATTAATCACTTCCTTTTATTGGGTCATTTAAATACATTATTTTAGTGGGTATAATTTTCAAATATGGAATGTAGTAAATGTACCACGTTAAATTTGGTGTATCTATTATTTGTACTTGATATCAATTATTTAATTTTTCAATTGTACTCAATAGCAATATTTAATTTTCTAATTGGACTCAATAGCGATTAATTGAGAATTCAATTTCAATTGCAAGGTTCTACTTTATTATTAAGTAAGTAGATATTATATATTTAGTAATATATATACCATTCTTCTTATCATATTGTTTTGAGGGAAAAGGCGCAAATAAGGTCACGTACTAACCAAAAAAGGTCAAATAAGGCCTTATTTATGAGGTTCTGTCCGGCCTTCGCCATTTGGACTGGTTCTTGGTGGAATTTTTTGATGAAATTTTTTGAACATCTTATTCATTAAGTCTAGTTTACTCATACCAAATTTCAGCTAAAACTTCAATCGGGAAGCCATTCAAATGAATTCTTGAAGATAACTGCGCAGTTAAAAGCGCAGTTATCTTCAAGATCTCATTTGAATGCCTTCCCGATTGAAGTTTTAGCTGAAATTTGGTATGAGTAAACTAGACTTAATGAATAAGATGCTCAAAAAATTTCATCAAAAAATTCCACCGGGAACCACCCCAAATGGCGACGGTCAGGCAGAACCTCTTAAATAAGGCCTTATTTGACCTTTTTTGGTTAGTACGTGACCTTATTTGACCCTTTTGACAATGTTTTGACCTTAATTCTATTGTGATTCACTTTCTTATAGTATGGACTCATACGTCACATCACCTATACCGCCCCATCCGACATTGTCAACTTTGGGATGAATGTGAAATAAGAAAAGTAAAAACTATGTAATTGACATTTGTGCAGAAGAGAGAAAAATATATAGAGTCCCAACTTCAGAATTTTAAAAGAAAATGTACAAAGTTTGTAGGTAAGTTGAAAAGGCATGCTGACGAAGTCCAATTGAATAGAGGGGTATATAAATCACATGTACTGGATCTATTTATCATCAACAAAATCAAAGTTTAAATATGCTTTTAGTTCAACCAAGCATTCCAACCTAGCTGATTGTGAGGTTAAGTTACTGTGTCTAGTAGGAGGTCTCGAGTTCGAAACCCGCTAGGGACATAAGGGTTCGAAATTCAATAGAGTGAGTTTCAGCCTTGATTACTCCAGCCCCCCTCTCCAAGACACCCCGGAGTAAAAAAAAATATTAAAAAAATATGCTTTTAGTCCAAGCAAATATAATAGGAACCTACAATTTTTTTTGTTTTCCATTCCTGAAATTTATTTTGATTTTCTTTTTAATCATCAGTGATGATCCGATAATAACAACCTTCGTTTGACAACGAAATAAACATGACTAATAGGATTTCTTCAAATTCTTTGTCATATTATTCTAAAGTATTCTATTTTAATTTTATTTTATTTCATTTTTAGAAGATGATAGAGTACATGGACTCGGACCCCCGAATTTCATGACTATTGGGCACAAACAGAGGTCCGCGCACGCTCAGTAAATAGCATTTACATCATTGTACACTCTATTTATTCATGTATACCCATTAGAATAGATTAAATATCATTTATTAGCCATTTATATGCCTTTTATTGTAACTGGGCCTGCCAGACCCAAATCTGGAAGTCCAACTTACTTTTCTCCATATTGAAGCCATGTAAAGGATTGGAAATTCATTTATACATATCACTTTATCTCTCAAGTTCTCTCTTCTCTCTAAATTAATAATCTATCAGAAGGTTTTTAAAACATATTTTAAAAAATGTGAATGATTAGTTTTACATTATTTTAACTCTCATATTAGCCTGCCAAGGATGTTGACATTAAACATTGAACATATACTATAAGACCCTAGAAAGTCCAACGAATAAAAATAAAAAACTCTCATATTAGCCTAAAAACTATAAAAGGGTAAATTTAAAATTTCAAGTAAATCTATACAATCGAATAATTTTTGTTTAAATAGAGTGATTTCGGAATTAGAAATGGATTAAAAATAAAATAATGCATATTATAGAAATGGATTAAAAATAAAATAATGCATATTATAAGAATGGAAAACATTTTTTTTGCAGAAGCATAAAACAAAATGTATCATATTGCAAGAACTAAAAACATATTTGAACCTAAAATCAATAATAATCATTTATTAATAGCACATGGCAAAGTTAATTGTCGTTAGTGGGAGAGATGACTTTTTATTTTTTCCCTTTCTGTGACTCTACATTATACTCTTTTATTCGAACATTTGAATTTTGAAATCTAGAAGGGTGGAGATTTGTGTAAAAAAACTCATTCGCTTTCTGGACAGTTTATTTTACTTCATTATTCAAACCAAACATAAGAAAAGTAATTAATTTTCTTTACCATGTTGCACCTCCTTTTAAAAAATTTCTAGGTTCAAAACACACATCAATAGAATAGAAACAATTACTTTGCCAGAATCTTCTCAATTGGGAGAAGAGATCAAAAGGGCATTGAAGAGATATGAATACAACAGTTACAACCATTTGTTGCTACTCTGGTCAGGAAAAACTAGTGTACATTTAGTGTATTTAGGAGTACCTGTGTGTATACATAATAAAAAGATAGATGAAAAATATCACACGTATATGAATGTATAAACATTGAGTTAATGTTGTTTCCTTTCTTCTTGTATAGACTTTAAAATCCGAGCAGCGGATTCTGATGTCGTGTTGGGGTTGTGAGGCACAACTTTGATCACGCGAACCTGATTCAGGATGGGTTGGTCTGAATCTTCTTCACCTGTGGGTTTGGTGGGAAAAAGAGAGAGCGCGTCCGGCAGCACTCTCTCAGAAGGACTACTTGCAGTACTTCCTTGCAGATCACTCCCTCTATCTGTCTGCAAACTCGGTGCTCCATTTGACAAGATCCTACTCTGAGCCCCATTGTTACATACTACTTTCTTTTCACAAGGCCTGCCCAAATTAGTGTCATGCACGGACGGGCTAATCACAGGCAAGGCATATGGTTGAAAGTAGGCCTGGCCAACGGGCGGGCTAGAGAAAAGCCCGATCCCATATGACAGGTTCAATGGCCTACAACCACCATAAAGAGGGGCAAGGATCCCTCCAGGTGGGGGACAAGGACCTGAATACGGTTTGTAGACCAGTCCCTCAGAAGGAGACCTTACGGGAACTAGCCATTGGTTTCCTTGTGGTGGTTGGAAGTACCATTTGGCATCATGATCCGGAGATGTCAATGTTGGCGTCCCTGAGTCTGGCATCTTCTCTCTCGAGCTCTCTAATCCAATACCCAAAATGCCTTTTGGTTTTTGAGAAGAATATGAATTCCTTTCTACAACTGGGGTTGGCGGTTCATTAACATTGTTGGGTGGTAGTTTCTTTGTGATAAACGATGATTTTATATGAGATTTTCCGGTAAATAAGTCATCCTCGAATAAGATATCTGGAGAACGTGAAACCATTTTCTGAACCTGATCACAAGTATTAGAGAGGATATTCAATACATAGATTGCATAGGGCAGATGTTATTGTATTTGATAAATGATTGTGTTTATTGTTTAAATAACATGCAAAAATATCCTGAATCATATCTAACTGAAATACTGTGTATAAACTAATAGTTGATACAACAATAACATTACCATAGTGCCGCATAGGATCCCGCCTATAGCGGGGTAGGGGATATAAACTATCTAATAACTCATCCGCTAAGAAAAGCACTTTCCTGAAAGATTTTTTTGTCACAAAATAAGAGTTGCATTCTAACAATCAACTTCAAATTTTAAGTGAAATTCATGCAAAGCCAAATGATGAGCGATTTTAGGCAATTACTCCAAATAATATTCGGAATAAGTTCTGGGGAGTGGTACGTCTATACAAGCGACCACTCATAACTTGTGAAAGCTTATACCTCGATTGAGTTAAATTTATAAACAATTGTACTCTACTCAAACATGACCCTTTCATTTGGGACCGATGGAGTGATTTGTACTAAAGACGCCAAACATGTCAATGTAAGTCTGTAACTATGGATACTTAGGAAGTACCTTTATTAACCTATGCAGCTCAAATATTTGTAGTGAGAAGGTCCTTTGCTGACTGCAAATAGAATGACAGGGTTAACACAGATGCAATATAAAAGAACTTGAGGCAAAACTAGTTTAAGGATACTTACTGCATAATGGTCCTCCTAGCTTTCCAGAATAGCTTATGTCCTAGAATTTTTACTACATCATCAGGGGACAAATTTATAGCTGAGGCGCAAGGAATTTCCTCATTTCTGTCTGCATGAGAAATCTCTTTATGATGACCTTCCATCATGGAAGCACTTCTCTTCTTATCAGTCTTAGCATTCTTCGCATATTCATCATAGTCCTCATCATATTCATCTTCGAGAGTGTATCTCTCTTTTCCTAGGTGGTTCCTTTTTTGTATTACCTTTTCAGAACTATTATGATTTTTTTGATAAAAACTGGAGCTTGAAAATGTATCTTTTTCTTTTTCCAATATTTTCTGAATATTTTCACTTTTTGGGTGTTTCCCCGTGTGAGGGAATTTTTGAGCACTGAACCTGCCACCATTTTCGAGCTTCATAGCAGATAAACTATGACAAGAGGTGCTTGGAAAATCTCCTTTATTGTCACTTAAACTTTCATATTTTAGTGGTGCTAACTCTAGACTTCTCGGTGTTGTAAAACTTGGTTCACCCATTGCAAAATGAATGACACTAGAGCAAGAATGGGATGAGGAAGGTGGATAGTAAAAGGGAGAACCAGCCTGCAATCAACACAAGTAAGAAAAGCCAATTTAAGGAATCTAGTAGCATCCCCACATACGTTGCAAATAAAGTAATTTTTGAAACTCTAGTGATTGGTAGTGCACTTGGGCTTATTCTGCTAATAAGCAAGTAATTAGCTTTTGACTTGCTTACTTTAATGAAATGGATGGTAACAAACATATTACATAAAGTGAGTTTACACACTATAAAAATATGAGTAGATTTAGTCATCACACAAATACCCCTTATCTAAAGTGAGTTTACACACTTTAAATTCATGCAAAAAGGCATTGTAACATAGTCCGTATATGTAAAATATATATAAATAGTACAAACATAGTCCGTATATAATAACGGAGTAGTATAAAGATATAAATACAATAAACGTGTATCAATACTAATATCTAAATGCGTTTATATGGTCGTGAATCAGAAGGCAGGCCTCAAAATCGCATGGTAAATCAGAACTACACAAGTTGATATGCAAACTATGAATGAGATTTTGACTAATATGAACAAAAGTGTTTCCAGCTTCAACTATTTCATAGCATCAAGAGGCTATGTCTAGATCCTGCAAAATGCAAAATGCCAGGGAATGAAAGAAAATGCTTAGAAAAATGACTTTCTTTTTCTTCTAAAAAAGCGACAAAGGGCTAATCTCAGCAAGGCTACTCTATCGCTTAAAATACCTAAGTTAGATGAATGACTTTCTTATGTTTAGTTCTAGATGATTTTCCTTAAATATTACTCCATACTATAGTAGAACTTATGGGCAAAAAAAGTGACTCAAGATTCTAAATGTATATTATCATAGTCACTATAATATATATATATATATATATATATATATATATATAGGGAAGAGATCAGGTAAAAACACCTTCTTACATGAAAAATGAGAAACGATCGTGAACGCTCAAATGAGGGAATCGTACGTCAGGCAAAAAATCTTCATTGGTGATACGGTGCACTGAATGGCATTATATTATTTCCTTGAATACTAACGGATTAAGATACATAATGCTTGGGGTATAATAGTATTTTAATCTTCTTACCAATTTTGAAAGAAAAAAATTACGGTACTTTGATCGATTTTAAGGAAGTTAAAGTTGGAAAGTGCATGCATAGTTGTTCTGCTTATTGATATTATTAACCACTATCCAACACTGATTGTAAAATATGGACACATATGAGACAAAAGTGATGTACACGTGTACAAGTAGCTAGTCTGGTGCATTCGAGAATATGATAAGTGGAGACGTATATTTCAATTAGTCAAAGTAACGAGTGGAATAAAAATGTTTATTAGTGGGTGATCAACTAGTAATTAGTTGAGAGTGAAATAGAAAAAGTGGGTGTAGGAATACAATATTATTGTGATAGTCAAGATGTTAAAAGTGTTTAATTATTGAGTCCAAGTGCATATGCTTAAATGTAAGGTAAAGATGGGCGAATTGAACTATATATAAAAAAAGTGGACATTATAGATTGTTTTAGTGCAATAGTGCATGTAAGATAATTTATGAAAAGATAGGGTGGAGACGTGATTTAAAAAAGTGAATCGTAAATGTGAACGAGTGGTGATAAGTATTTCTTAATGTGGTACTGACTTATAATTGTGCACTTATGTGATAAATGATAGGTGTACTTGTAGTAATGAAAAATGGATGCAATAATTCGATGAAATTTGTTTTTTTGTTGTTATCAAAGTTGTTAAGTTTATAGTGAGAGGACAATAGTAAAGAAATGGATATTATTGAATTTGTGATAGTAGTTGTAAAATAATTTATGAAAGATTGGGTACGTGGATGAGTAAGAGCAAGAGTTATGACAGATTGAGTAGTGAAATACGGAGTAGCAAACATGATAATATGAAAGAAACAGAAGCTACAGTAGCAATGGAAATGATTAAGAGGAAGGTAGATGACGATTGACGAAGCTAATAAAACAGAAGTTAGTAATTAAGCTTCCAATTAAATGTACTTTACCGAGACGGAAATGTGGAAAGCAGAAAGTTATAGTTGGGGAAGTCAATAATACCCCCTTTGTATGTCTTGAAATCAGGACCGTAGTTTTTCATTAGTAAGGAATCATATGGTTGAGATTACTTCTTACTTTTCATGGGATTGAGTGTTTTTATATGATCCAAAATCTATATATATATATATAATCACCCTTTAAGTTTTACCACTGAAGTTGCAAACAAAATGAAATACAATTGCCTTTTAAAAAAAATTAAATTTCTTGCTCTTAAAAAAAGAGTGAAAAATTATCTAAAAAACAATGGCCAATGGGTTTGAGTATATCTTATCCCCCACCCCCTCAACTTATATTACCTGATATTTTTTCATGCTCCAGATGAAAAACTACAAAAGTCCAAACGATACTACTAAATAAACTATACCTAGCATAACTAATTAAGCTGGTTTTGAGACTTCCAAGTGATGGCAATGTGATGCTACGTACTAACAAATAAAAGCAATGTTGTGCAAGAATCAGCAAGATCAATCAATACATTTACAACCCATATAGAAAGAAATGAGCAAGATAAAACCACACAAGTCATAACTGTGCATCAAGTTTCTAACATTAGTCAAGGTGTGGATTGGTAACTAATGGTAAGACCTCATGCAAAGCAATGCAGTGTTACAAAATGGGTGTACAATATGAATGTCTACTAAACTACACCAAAAAACACAAAAATCCATCCATAAATGAGAAATACGACCAGATTGAATTATTTGAAACAAACACAATCGAGAATTGAAAGAAAGCATTATAAAGGTTGGACTTACATGGCTCAAAGCAGAGGAATTAGGAAGAGGGAGAGGAAGCATTGGGATAGGTGGCAAGGACATTGCAGGGTGTTGTGTTTCACTAAGAGCAGCCATTTTGTTCCTTGGAGGTGCTTTTCGCCCTCTTCTCTCTGTATCACTTATGTGCAGCCTAGGAAATATAGGATGATGATCTTCCATCCGTTTCTCATCCTCTTTCCCACCACCACATTTCATCTTCCCTTTTCTCAATTCTTCCACAACTATCCCCATTCCCGTGGTTTTTTTTTTTCAAGAATCACGCCTCAATAGCAGCAAGAATCCCCAGTTCATAGATACCGAGAATTTGTTGAATTCTCCATGAATAAAAAACAAATCTTTATGGCCAAATTCGACACAAGAACTTGAAATACCTTGAGATTTCTTGAAAGGGAATTTGGAGACGTGAACAAGGGAAGAGCAGGAACAATGGAAGAAAGGCATGAAGATTCCATGACGAGACAAATAAAAGGAAAGTGAAGAGAAAGAGGGGGAAATAAAAGGAGAGTGAGAGAGTCATCCTCTCACTTCCTCTGGATTCTCCTTCATTGTCTCTCTCTCTCATCAGAAACAGTTGCCGCACAAGTCTGATAGCTTGTGCTCTACGGGCCACACATACTGCCATTATTATATTTCCCCAATCTCTTCACGAAAAATATGGCAAAGATTTGCATTCAAAGAGGAAGCCAAATGGCTCTCATTCGCCTCATGCTTCCCTATTATGTTATCAAGATTGCCTGGTGAGATTTGGTTCGACTGTCTTCCTAGCTAAATGCTTAAAATTAAAAATTACTCTATTTTTTATGTTAACATGTTGAATTTTATACTATTCACATGTTCTATTTTAACTACATTTTATATTATTATTTTATGAAAATTATTTTCTTTGAAAAGTATTGTTTAATTCATCTCATTACAAATTTTCAAAATCTAATTTTTAAATATTTTTTACTAATAGAAATTAAGATATAATTACGGTCTAAGACGTGCGTTGCCAAGTGTGAAATGTTGACCGTTACAACTAAAAAAGAATGGAGGAAGTATTAACTTGAACGGGTTTTATTTATTTACTATGAAAACATTCAAAATTTTGGTTCAATTTATTATTCAAACACGGGTAATATTTTTTATTGATTTCAGAAGCATATATAACGAGAGTAACAAATAATAAGGTCAAGTTTTCTATATATAATATTTACTATAGATAATGTTTTCCAAAAGAATTGAACTTATATTTACTCACTACCTCCCTCCCAAATTGATTTGCAAATTTGAGTTTTCTTGATCCAAGAGTTTCATTTTATTCGCTTCATTAGGATGCCATTTTTAATTATATTCTAATTTATTGTTTACAACTTTGAAGAGATTTTAATGTAATTTTTGATCGAATATATAAATTTTAATTATAAAAAATCGAATTATTTATTGATAGGGACGATTGACTTTTACTATTGGTTGACCAAAAGATATTGACTTTGGGATGAAAAGAGTATAACAAATTAAACAACACCATGGGAAAAAATACGGAGTATATAATACGTCAATAATTATCGTAAAGGTTATGTTGTTGACCTGAATGCATTAATAGTCACCTTATCGGTCAATTTTATATTATCAAATACTTCGTACTTGTATTTCGTATGTAGTTTTTTTTTCACGTGCTCAGTTAGGTAATAATCCAAATACATAAGGTTAGAGTTATTTTTGGGGAAATTTCCCTGGATATGACTAAAACTTAATTAGTTTCTCAATCTATAACCTAACTAGTTTTTAAACTTTTGTATGACCAAAAATTCAAAAAAAAAATGAAATTTCGTTTATATTTAAAGGTTGAATGACGAAAATGCCCTTATTTAAATTATGTGCATTTTGCACTAATTTATCCAGTTAAAATTACTGCACTTTAAATTAACGTTAATGCATGACATTAATGCACTATTTTACTGCACAACTGGTAATTATCATCGCACTTCCGCTAACATTAATTCTCTTCTCATTAAAACTTGAGGAATTAATGTTTAGTTTATTTAGATTTAATAATATTATTTAGATCTAATTAATATTGTATTCATTACACAACAAAATTTATTAATGCATTCATTCACCGCCTTATACAAGATGCATGTATATTGCATTCGATCAATTGCACAACACTTTTTTCAATGCTTTCGTTGTCAATATTCATCACTATTTATTATCATACTCAATGTCCATATTTACTGCCCATTTTTCACTGCCAATGTGTCTTACCCGTGTCTAAAAACCCAAATTCAAGAAATAAGAAGAAAAAAATTACTCGTTTTTTAAATTCAAAAGAAATACTCAAAACAAAAATCAAATTCGTATGTTCCACAAATGGTGAAGGCCCTCCTCCAGACTTGCAATGTCGAGAACTCCAATATCCAAGATCTGAAATTGGCCGTACTCCAAGATTCCAAATCGAATCCTAAATCTGCTCACCCAAGCCAACTCCTCCAAGTAGTTGCCGCACCATGGACGCCGCTGCTTGCTGCCAAGGTCGATGTTGTTGGTTGACACACGGATTGGAGCTCCATCTCCCATCATAAGTCCGCCGACAGAGGACGACGCATCGACGTCGGACGGCGATTCGGCACCCAGGTCGGGCGATTCGGCACCCAGGTCGGGCGATTGATCTTTGGAAGGCGGCGGCTGTACTCCCAGGCTAGAATCTGTGGGCGGCGGCGGGGCTGGACGGTAGGCGGCGTCTGGACGGTGGGTGGCGGCTCTAGGGGGCGGCTGCGTGGGTGGGTGGGGCAAGGTATATAGTGAAAGGTTGTAAGTAGGGTTGGAGAAAAAGGAGTAGGAGATTAGGGTTTTATAGGTATAACTTAAAGGGTATATTTGTCCCTGAAAATTATTTATTATTTAATTATTTCGTATTTTAATTAAATATTTCGAATTTTAATATTATTTTGGGAAAAAAACTTATCAGGTCATAGATTGATAAACTCCTTGAGTTTTAGTTATATGTAGGGTAATTATCTCTTATTTTTGCTGACTAAATTGGAAGAAGTCGTTATTGTAGAAAATAAGTTTAGCTATTTTTCATGTATTTTTTCTTAATTTTATTAATAAACTACCAGACTTGGACAGTTTTCATTTGGACAGTTTTCATGTATTTTTTCTTAATTTTATTAATAAACTACCAGACTTGGACAGTAAATTGGTTTTCGTTTGGACAGTTTTAACAGACCGGATCATATTAGACCAGACCTAACAAACCAGACCAGACTTGGACATATGTGAAATATATAGAGACCAGACTTTATCGGACTAGACCAAACCAGTCCAGATCAGACGAGGCTTAAATAGATCAGACCAGACTTAAATAGACCAGACCAGCTCAGACTAGAAAATATAGTCTAAAAGAAAACATCGTCAGTCACTTTGATCAAGAATTCATACATTTCAATGTTTTCAAATAAGCCCAAATCAATGAATTCCATTGTTATTTAATTAGAAGATATATATGATCCATTCGAAGTCGTTAACATGTTTCTCATAAACATGTTACTACCTAGTATGTTCAAGAGAGTGACCGATCTACTTTTACTAAAGTTTCAATTCCCTTTCCTACTTTGTATTCCATAATGGTTGTCTCGTTTCAATTTGGCACAGTTATTAATAAAGTTGTTGAAAAGTAAAAGTCTTAGTTGAGATTTGAGTTAAATGAAGTGAAATGATATGGACCACAAATTTCTTACCAAAAAGGGAAACATGACATTCTTTTTGGGACAATCCAAAAAGGAAAGTAAAAAAACCAAAATGAGATGGAGGAAGTATACTTTTGAATCTCGCTCTTCAAAGGCAAAAGAAGAGTAACATAAAATTTCCCTTAATTAAAACTTGTATCAATCAGTTAATCAAAATCAGCTTTCACAAATATGATTTCATAGAGGAATCCAAACTCGTTAGAATTTGTACAATAAACTCCATCATTTATATCCAATCACTCAAGCTTCCAAGCATACAAAAAAAGGCAAAACGGCGTTGACCCGCCGGAGTGGCTCTGCGTCGTTGAGTAATACCTACTTTCAGTACTGCCGCACTCGCTGCTGTCGCCGCCGGCACTGCTCTCATCCACGTCACTCGTCTCCGCCTCCATCCCCGTCCCGTCCGGCTTGAATATAAACAACCCGTGGTCGGAACCGCCGCCGCCGGGCAAGTTATTCGAAAACAACCAATCGTGGACGTCCCAGAAAACCTGGACCGGCAGCTTATTAACCACCACCGTCTGATTTCCCCTAAACTTCCACTGCAAATTCTTCACATGGACCAACACAATTCCGTCTATGCTTATCCACATCTCAGGGTCTTTGGACCCTGTGGTCGAACTCTCCACCACTATGTCACATTCTTTGTTCATCTTATGATCTAACCTCGCCCTCGTCGAGAAGCTCTTCTTCCCGAAAACGTGCTCTTTCTTGTAAAAAAGGACGGCGTCGACCAACGCCGGCCGGGCTTTGCTTCTCTTGTATGCCTTTTTCTTGTGGTCACCTAGCAACATCACCACCTCTTCCTCCGCCACCAATGCCACGTAGTAGTCTGCGCTTGGCTCTGGGCTCCCACTCCCTGAGAATTTTGGGGAGCGAAAATCCCAGTACGCCTCGAGCTGGTTACCGTCCACCTCGAACGTCTTGTAACCCTTCTTGGCCCAGAAGTTCCAAGGTTTGAGGTCTATTTTGCACGTGGGGTGATCGTCGCTTTCGATGCTATCGACCGTTATCGTGACGCTGTGACTCATCACGTTTTTGTTCCAGAACACCGTCACGTGCCTCCAGTACCCTCCGATGTGAGTCTGGTACACGCACGTGACACTGCTTTGTGGGTTTTTGCTCGAAATCGCTTCGTCTACCAGTTTCATGGAAGACGAAGACGATACCCTTGTGCTAATTAAATTCTCAGTCATTTTCCTTCTTTTGATTCTTGGATTTTTCAAGAATTCATAGCTTTGGACATACGAGAAATTATCAACATGATTCGCCTCAAAACGCGCATAAATATATGCGCAAAGAATCAATATGTCTGATTAATGGTGCACTCAATTGTGTATATGCATGAAGCCATGCATGGACGTACGTAGGCTGATCGCCTTCCGTTTCTGGGACAAATCGGAGACGATGGCTAATTTGTTTTCCTGGTTAAAGTTATGTATTTTGTGTTGAACGTTGGCCAAGACCAAGATAGATGGAAATTGATCAATCAAAACCTGATGATGATGATGATGAGGAGGATGACGAACACGGTGACAAATTAAGGTTCGCCTAGCCTAGGAATTGAAGATCGTCTTGGATTGAATTTGGAGACTGGAAAAATGAATAATACGCAGGTTTGGGTAAAATAATGAAGAAAATATCTAGCAGTTTTTTATCGCTTTGATTAAATTGTTTTGTGAAAATATGCTAGTTTAAACAACAATTTTTGCTTTGTGGAGGAAATTGCTCACGCCAGAGTGGCTGAGGGGAGGAGCTTTCGGGAAAAAAGAGGCCAAATTTTCACTAGCCTCTACTTTAAAATTTGCCTCAGATTTGATTTTACAAGTTTGATTAAAAATTGTCATAAGTAGAGTTAAAACATGGTTAAAATTCTTCAACATGAATCCA